GGCGCGGGCCACCAACCCGCACAGGAATTTCAGCCAAATTCTAGCCCCAGCCTGCACAGGAACTCAGCCAAGTTCTAGCCACAAAGCAGCGCGGGCCACCAACCCGCACAGGAAATTCAGCCAAATTCTAGCCCCAGCCTGCACAGGAACCCAGGTTCTAGCCACAAAGCGGCGCGGGCCACCAACCCGCACAGGAATTTCAGCCAAATTCTAGCCCCAGCCTGCACAGGAACTCAGCCAAGTTCTAGCCACAAAGCGGCGCGGGCCACCAACCCGCACAGGAATTTCAGCCAAATTCCAGCCCCAGCCTGCACAGGAACTCAGCCAAGTTCTAGCCACAAAGCGGCGCGGGCCACCAACCCGCACAGGAATTTCAGCCAAATTCTAGCCCCAGCCTGCACAGGAACTCCAAAGCGGCGCGGGCCACCAACCCGCACAGGAATTTCAGCCAAATTCTAGCCCCAGCCTGCACAGGAACTCAGCCAAGTTCTAGCCACAAAGCGCCGCGGGCCACCAACCCGCACAGGAAATTCAGCCAAATTCTAGCCCCAGCCTGCACAGGAACCCAAGTTCTAGCCACAAAGCGGCGCGGGCCACCAACCCGCACAGGAATTTCAGCCAAATTCTAGCCCCAGCCTGCACAGGAACTCAGCCAAGTTCCAGCCACAAAGCGGCGCGGGCCATCAACCCGCACAGGAATTTCAGCCAAATTCCAGCCCCAGCCTGCACAGGAACTCAGCCAAGTTCTAGCCACAAAGCGGCGCGGGCCACCAACCCGCACAGGAATTTCAGCCAAATTCTAGCCCCAGCCTGCACAGCAACTCAGCCAAGTTCTAGCCACAAAGCGGCGCGGGCCACCAACCCGCACAGGAACTCAGCCAAGTTCTAGCCACAAAGCGGCGCGGGCCACCAACCCGCACAAGAATTTCAGCCAAATTCCAGCCCCAGCCTGCACAGGAACTCAACCCGCACAGGAATTTCAGCCAAATTCTAGCCCCAGCCTGCACAGGAACTCAGCCAAGTTCCGGCCCACAAAGCGGCGCGGGCCACCAACCCGGACAGGAATTTCAGCCAAATTCTAGCCCCAGCCTGCACAGGTATTTCAGCCAAGTTCCGGCCCACAAAGCGGCGCGGGCCACCAACCCGGACAGGAATTTCAGCCAAATTCTAGCCCCAGCCTGCACAGGAATTCAGCCAAGTTCTAGCCACAAAGCGGCGCGGGCCACCAACCCGCACAGGAATTTCAGCCAAATTCTAGCCACAAAGCGGCAGCCCAACCACCGCAAATTCAACCAGAAATGATCAGGGCGCCCAGTTCCCCCTCCCTTCATCCATGGTCCCCTGAGGGTTGGGTTTAGGGTCTTAGGGTTTAAATATGTTTAAATTATATACATGTAGCTGTCACACGCTGCGTAGGTGTATGGGTTAAGTAAGGTTTAGAGTGCTCAGGTTTGCAACGGGGGTTCTCACCCAATAATTCCGCTCTGCGGCGCTGAGAAGGGGGAAAAACGTGGACTGGAATATGCGAGGTTTGTTTATCATGCAAAACATACGGGCATGAATGGTTGAGAAGTTTGAGCAGGGAGCAATGCTGGTTTTGAGTGTCAGACACGGCCAGCACCAGCCATGGCACTGAGCACCTTGGGTCAGTAAAAAGCAGCTGAATTGACTTCATGTGAAGATTGCTGCTCCTGGCCGAGGTGCCTCGAAGGCATTTGCCAGGCTGGTGAAGTTCTTCACCAGAGCCTTCTTGTTTTCGTCACTGGGCGATGCTGCACGCGCTTGTGATGGAATCTGGGGGCTTACCAAACCAAGCATGGATCCGGCCTCACGTAGCTCTTCAAGGACTTCGGGAGCCGCAGCTGGATCTGCATGGAAGCGGTGTGATGCCCATTCCGACAGTCGGCACATTGTCAAGCGGGCACAAAACCCACATGGATCCAAAGGTGCACCCACGCATGGTGGAAGCAGCCACAGCTGAAATGCAGGTCCAGGCAGACGGGCATGAGGGGTGCTGAAATTGCATCTAAATCTACGACTTAGGTCAAGGCTGCCATATGTCTCCAATCGGCGCATATCTTCGACCTTTGCCCGTGGTTCGACGTGAACAAGGCATTTAATTGCACTAGTAGTAACCGAGTGGGTGAGCATACTGAAGAGCCACAGCCTCTGGCAACACCTCATGTGAGATGCCTGTGATAAATAGCGCCCTTATTGTGGAACACTGGCAAACCCATTTCTGTGAAATGCCTTTTGGAGGACCCCTCGTGACATGAACTTGCATTCGCCTTCTGCGCTTGCTTTGCGCATGCACCCAATATGCATGTTGCCGGCTTGCTTCTTGGGGGAGGTGCTGACACCAAACCATCTGCATCCCGGTCCACAAAATGGAAATCAGTCAGGATCTCATCCACCGGAAGTCCTGCGAAAAGCAACATGGGAACGGGAGGATCGTGCAAAGGAAGTTGTGCTGGTCGAAGAGTGGGAAGCATGTCAACAATGATTCGCAGCCTCGGTCAAGATGCATGGGGTGCACAATGGCCCTCCACATCTTTCTTAAACTGGGTGACGCATGCCCGGTACTTAATGTCGATGAACCTGTCAATGTACACACTGCCTGGGGCTTGTCTGAGGCAGGCCTTGTGACCGCAGCTCACGCTCGAAAGCATGATAAGGCCTGAAACGTCGGAAGTCATGCAAGCCTAACCAACTGTTCACAACTAACGCTAGGATAACCTCGGTCGCATTGAGTATCCGTGCGAAGTGTCTGTCGGATGGAGCAGAACGACCACGCAACAAAGCATGACAAGCAACATGCGCATGAGCTTCCCACAGCCGATCGGGTCGGCATCGAAGGCCGCGCAAAGCCGGACTTAGATGTAGCCCCGCTTGAATGCACATGACCCGTGCTAGCGTGCGGCTGATATCTCTTGAAGAACAAGGCCCGCGCGAATCTGGGTCCACAACACCGAAGATCAAGGAAGAGGTGTCTTGCTGCTTGTGCTCAAGGAACGGCCTGGCTCAGTTCTCACAAAAAAAACGCACATGCAAAATTTGTGAGTCTTTCACCGTGGCCCCAGAGAATATTCAATATCTCATGGCCTCTTCTGCTGCTCAAAGGGCAGAAAGGTACAGCCTCATGTCTTCAGGTTGTGGCAGAGCGCTTCCTTCAGAAGAGCTTGCGATAGCTTGCGACTTTCAGCCTCCAAGCCCTCGGCTTCCACGGACGAAGGACACAGGGATCTCTACCCGATGTACCTTCCTGCACCAGCTGCTCCCACATTAGTTGTATGCCATTGTATGCCGGGATGGCCGGCAGGCATACTTTAGTCAAACTTTTTTCTGAAGACGCTGACAAAGCGACACTGCGTGGCGCCACAGTGGCTACTGTTTGCCTCTCCAAGCTCTTGTTGCCGCGGGATTCACGGAGAATGAAGCCGGGCCTTTTCAGCAACAACGTGCAGCCTTGAAAACTCGTGCACCACACCAACCTGAGCTGCCCTAGCATGGCCAAGTGCTCAGCTTCCAACGTTGCTGGCTTCAGAGATTCCAGCACCAGTAAGTTGGCCTCCACTTTCCAGGCGGTGGCATTTGGCCTTGAGAAAAGCACAGTTTGGAACGGTATGTGGCTGGGCTGAGCTGAGGGTCCCACATTGCCCGGAGCAAGCTACCTGGTGAATATCAGTGCCACTGGAAGCTACCTATATTCTAGCATTTGCTGTCACTACGCATGCACTCCGAATTCGACCCCATGAGTAGTGTTCGCGGGGCTGGTTTCTGCATAGGAAGGCAGCCTGATGGCCTTCTTGCTTGTCTCAAGATGCAGCTGGATTTGCGTGACGGCCTTTTTTGGAGCGTGGGGCCTGAAACTTTGGACCGGCCGAACTCTGACGTTAACTACAGGTGACCCTCGCGTTTGCAGTTTTGCTTTTGCCATACTCGGGATGTTCCTGGATGTCCGGGTTAAGGAGCCAATGCGGAGCGGGTGGGTTCATTCCCACCCTTCAACAACTGACACTGAGTCATGCATGCGTCTACTTTTGGAAAGGTTCCGGCTTTTGGACTCTTCCTTGTAGACACACTTCCCATCCACGTGCAGCTTCATCTCCAGCCTCGAGGCGGGCCCCATCGAAAGACGATTGCGCACGATAGTCGTGAGGGTCCGACTTCTTGTACGAATAGCCCTTGCTTTGTCCACACCTAAGGGCCAGCTGGCCTACCCCTAGTGCTGTCTCCAGCCAAGAACCGATGGCAGGAATGGACTGGCCAATGAGTGTCGCACTCAAAGGTATATCTTCCCGGTTCGATTGGACAGGTGGAGACAACTTTGGTCATTGTATCCTCTGGGTGCCTCGGCCAAAAAGCACGCCAATTGAACGGGACCAAAGAGATCCAGAACTTGGATGCAGGGTACGCAGGCTGGGGAGCCAACGGGAGTGCGTGTCCATGAAGCCTGCACTCTTTACAGCATTTCAGCCGAGAGCGACAATGGAGGTGAGGATTTGTTGGCCTTCGCATGCCCTGCACGATGCCATCGGGACCTTCGCCCAACCTAGGCAGCAACGGTTGCTTGCCCTGCGAGTGATTTGCTGCAGTGCTGCGGTTCTTTTACCACATGCTGTTTGATTCTGTTCTTCATCAATTCTGCCATAGTGAGCACATCCCTACCGCTGACGCACAGCGACGAATCAATGAATTAGGCGTTGAACGCAGCCACTGAATTGTTATGCACATCGCTAATTTGCATAATGCCGCTGGCCCTGTACAGCTGGTGACAAGCCTGTCAAATCCGGGCACATCATCCTTGACCAGCCAAGCAAACATCTAAAGTCTGATGTCTCTGCTAACATCTGCTAGACGAGCCGATTTGTGTCGACTCGTTGGACATACCACTCAGTCTACACCACAAAAGCGCCCAAAATCTGGCGGTCAAACTCGCACTTGGAGCCAGCTTCCGCTTGGCCAATCAAGGTCGAAAAAAGGCATCTACTTACATGTCTTCAGGGAGCATCCTGATGAAGGCTGCCGCTCGTCAAAGCTCGTTGCAATGCTCGGTACTCGCCTTAGCCAAACTTCGATGAGTAGTATTCCATTTGTTGTGGGTTGCGAGATGGCGGCACATGATCTCGGAGGAACCTGCAGATTGTCACAAGCACGCTGTCGCTGCGGCAAAGGTGCATATGGACTGGTTGAGAGCTGATGCGCGCGCATCCAGAGCAGCCCGCGCCCTGTCACCAGCACAATGGATTTACACAGCCTTCTCACAGAACAAGTTACTGAGAAGAAAGGAATTGTGGTCGTGATTGGCGATGTGAAAAACTTTGGCCTTTGGCCTCTTGGAACCTTATCTTCTGCGCTGTTTACCGGGTGCTGTCCACCAACCCCATCTCTCTGTATGTTTCTGTGTTGTCAATACTTCGGCTATGCAGCGCTTCCTTCGCTTCCTTCCACGCCCTTCTCAACAAAACGCAATTGAGACAAGCCAAGTGCTTTCTTGCATGGCGCTGCTCTCCGCGAAACGAGCTGTTCAGGAGCGTATACCCCCTGCAAACACGTTGCAGACACGCAAGAAACAAGATCTGCAGAATGTCCGAGTGGCGGGGAGATCGTTGAAGTTAAAACGCCACTAGTTATGGCATAGGCATGCAAGCCAATAAATATTGAATTACTGTACCAAGAAGGCACCATGGCAATCAAGCAAAACGACAGGGACGATCGCGAGCTGCTAAGGAGCTAGCTTTCGCGATTTCAAGAGCAGCTTATAAATTTCTAGTGAGAACTTATTTAAAGTCCGATCGCCAAGAGCCCGTGGCAACATCATGAATGCAGTCCTCCATCGAGCTGACTGACTTGAGGAAGGTCCGATGAGTCAGGCTTCGTGCATCTCAGTGCCGGAGATGTTTTTGTTTTTAAATGTTTTTAAGTTTCCTCTTCTTTTCTGTCGACACCCTTCGCAACCAAGGCTTGCCGTTGCCGTACTGTAGATAGTTGTCGGCCTCGTATCATTGTCCAACGGTTGTGATGTCAAACCCAGGTGTGAGGCAAGATGATGTATAAGCCCCGCCCTTGTTCGACGTCGAAACCGGCAAACGGAATTTAGCTCGTATGAAGCATCCATACACGAAGGCGTTCCCATGAACCTGCTTTACTCATGAAGCTGCACGTACGAGTAGCAAAGCTGGACAGAAGCGGCTTCTTCAGTTGAGACCGTGACAACTTCTGATGTTGACCCGTCGTGTACAAGGTTCCACAGGCCCCGCAAAGGTGCTGACCAACGAGCATCATGAAAGTAACGTCGGAGTCTCAGGAGTATTAGCTTCATTCAAGGTCAAAGAAAAACTGGCAGCAAATGGCAACGGAATGCACCGGAGAGAGCTTTTTGGTCTCTGCGATTCCAATTTCAAGTCCGGGTTTGGGATTTTTCCAATTCGCTGCAAAATAGACAGAACATCTTTTTGGATGGTTATGGTCCCTTCTGATTCAGTTGCCCGTGGGCGAAGACAAGGAACAACATGTCTGTGGAGTCTCTGGAGCTCAGTCAGACTCATGTCCTTAACATACTGAGAAAAGCTCTGTACGCTTCAGTCCTCACCAAGTCTTCGGCCTTGGATTCAATCGCGCACGGAAGCGTGCTGTTCTTGCGATGTGTGGCTTGCTACGGGTACGGTGGCACAGCGCGGTCCGCTATCCTTCAAGCTGGCTGCCGTTGCATCAGCTGATTGGCTCCGACGCAAGCTGCGCGCATCAAGGCGCCATTGGCGGCGCTCCTGATGAACTCAGGAAGTGCTCAAACCGCAGACATGCACTGCGATTCTGAACCAATGGTTTCGGACCTGCTCAAGCACGGCATGCTGTTTTCGAAGCTCTCTCCGCCGCTTGCGCAAAGCATCGGAGACCTCCGATGTCAGTCGAGCTCCTGGCAACGGTCGAAAGAAGTGGGGACGCATGATGACGCATGACACATGTCTACGATTCTGCGCTGTCCATGGTATGTCAGCAACCAGCCTGACGATCCACCGAATGATTGACAACGCCGGAGCGTTGACTCCGCAACGTCACCGACGTTAGCATTGTCAGCAGACTCATGAGTGAGCTGAGTGGGTGCTTCACTTGATAGCTTTGGCTCTCGCATGGCTGAGCTGCACACTGCTCGAGATGGGGTATGCTTAGGTCTTGGCTCATTCTGTGACAGCCTCATCTTGACCTGGGCGAGCTCCGCCTGCTGGGCCTTAAGCTGGAGTTGTGCTTGCTTCGCCTGGGAAAAAACGCAGCCGAGCTCTGATTGACATCTTTGGAGCTCCATCTCAAGGCGCTGCGTCTCGGTTTCCTTGAATTGGACCTGGCTTTGTAGCCGCAGAACCTCACGTTGGCTTTCTCGCAAGGCTGCCTTCGTTGCGGCATGGGCGGCTTGCTCCATGCTGTACGTGGACAAACACTCATCCACTTGCCGCTCTAGTGCAGTACGCTGTTGCTCCTGCAGCTCCAATTGCATTCGCATATTTGTCATACTAGTAATATCCATCCAATTCCCTGCAGTTCGGGGAGTTGTAGGTAGCTTCAATCCTGCCTCTGGCAAATCATGCATTTTGTTCGTGACATCCCTTAGGAAGCAGCTGTCTTTTCTTTGCGTGTCTGACAGCTTGCTTCTTTCTGCTGTCTTGCAGGCCACTGCGCTGAGCTCTGCGGCAAGAGAAGCCATGGACTTTTTCATCGACAGGACCTCCGCGTCCTCTCTTATGCTTAAGGGGATGTTTTCATCGGCTGGTGTCTGGAGAGGGGAACGCGGCTGAAGCGGGGAATGCGGCTGAAGTGGGGAATGCGGCTGAAGTGGGGACAGCTCCTCCCCAGGTGAGTCTGCGGCTTTTGAGAGATGCTCGGCTTCGGTAGTGCTGGCTGTGGTTGTCTCATCTGTCTGCGTGGTTGAATCTTGCACTGGCTTCTCCTGTGAATGCCCCGAATGCTGTGTCTCTTCCTTGATATCAGCTTCTGGCTTCCGGCCCGGTGACTGCGGTGACGAAGTCTCGTTGGATACATCGGAAGCCCGGAAAGTGCTTTCAAGCTGCTTGCGCAGACGGCGTAGCTCGCTGTGTGCGGCTGCTGGCGACCCCGTCCGCCCCGTAGGTGCTTCGAGGGCTTCAGCAAGACCCGGCTGTTTCTCTTGTGATGGCACCTCACTTTTGCCACGACTGAAGCTATCACTCTCGATGTTTGAGCCCTCAAGCACTGCAGTCAGCGAGGAGATTTCGAGCGAGTCTCCGTTGACACTGCTTAAGCTGTGGGAGTTGTGGGAGTTGTGGGAGTCTCCCCTCTGAGATTGCGGAAGTTGACAGAGAGTCTCCTCACCTTCAAGCCGATTCCATAGACACCGATCACCAGCCTCAGACTTGCGAGAACACAACTCTGCAGTCAGCACAGCACTCAGCCGAGGAGTGGGTGGGCTCTGGACATCGCCAGGAGCAACCCTGTCTGCTGGCTCCTTGCCTGGGCTCGGCGTTGTCTGCTTTGGCTCCGGTTGCTCCGGTTGCTCCGGGCTGCACGTTGCAGGGGATCGGCAAAATGCAGCGTCATCGCATTCCAGTTGCAAAGGCTTGGGTCGAGGAGGTCGGAGTCTTGATGGTGGAGGCTTTGACGGGCGCTCCGGCATCAATTGCGTCTGCCTAATGCATGCAGGGTCCCTTCCGCCGTCTTCAACTGTGCAGGCTTTGACCGCGCTGGCAGCAAGCGCTGCCAACCCCCGATCCTCAGCCGGGATGCTAGATGCTTTGCTCTGTGGGGAAGGTGTCTGCTCGGTGAAATCGTCAAAGGATCTGCGGGGTGAAGTCTCCTCGCAAATAGAGCTGACCGAAAGGTCTTTGCCTGGTGTGCCCAGGCCCAGCACCCCTGGATCAAGCTGTTGCTTTGCCTTCTCAGCAGCATACAGCTGCCGAAGCTCATGGTCGCACGGATGATCCCACTGGCTTTCACCTGAAAGGCGCCACACGCAACGTGCTAATGTACTAATGATGCTAAAGCTGCTTTGCTTCTTTGGCCCCATGTGCCTGTGTCCGGATTGTAGAAGAAGATGTCACCGCTCGCAGCCTGATGGAAGAGGAAGAGATCGCACAACTGTGTGAGTGCTTGCTGCTTGCCATCAATGGGTATCGACCGGAAGTTTGCTGAATAGTCTTGAAGAGCTGAAAATCAGAAGCCAAGCAGTCGCTCAGTCTCAGCCCATGACCTCGAACGGGCGCCAGGGCTTCGGCAATGGCGTCTTCAACCCGCGACGAGCGATCCACAGGAGATCTCCATCTTGGAGAGGGTCCATACCCAGCCATTCTGCCTGACAGCTAGAGCTCGAATGCTCGAGGGGCATGACGAAGGCGGTACTGCCATGCAGCACTGTCATGTCATGAAACCGCAGCGAAAGAGCGCCAGGCTCTCGTAATTAAGCCGCCATGGTTCCTCATTCTTCCGGCCAAGAGGCGTAATCTCGAAGCTCCTGGACGCTAAGCATGCGTCCATGTGTGGAATTGCAAAGTAATATCCTTTGCTTCGCTCCCTGTCACAGATATGCACTGATGACTCCAAGCTGGACGCCTCACTCGTGGGTTCGTACGCATCGTCCACCTGCTCCTGACACAGAAGGTGCAAAAAACGAGGCATGGCTGACCAGAGCTTGCCATGTTTGGCAGTGGGCCAAATAGCCCTCCCTCCTGTGGCGGATTGAGGATCGGCATGTCATGCAAAAAATTGCTTGTCGCAAACGGTTTGTCGCAAGCTGATACAATCCCTTGTCGCGAAAGGACACCCGAGACCTGCATTTTTCAAGTCTTGTGTTTTTGGGTCCACGAACATCTGGCTACCGGGTAGCACAGAAGAACGCAGCAGGCGTACTGCATCGTACTGCACTGTCCTCCAGGCAATGCACGCTGCTGGTCGCGCCCGGCATTTCAGCTAGCGGGGCTGCTTACACAGCTACTTGCAAGCAACCTTTTGAGCCGGAAGGTGACGGAGTTAAAGAGAATGCCTCCCCAGGCAAGATCATTCAACGGTGACCGACAACTCTTCATGTCCTGCACCCGGCCCATCTGAAGAACAGTTATGACTCATTATGACGCGGGATGCCGGGTCAGCGATCGAGGAACCGAGGCAGGAGCTTCGTCTGGTTCGCTCGAAGAGGCTCGTCCCTGAAGCACTGAAGCTGTCCAGGTTGCACTTTGACTGCGCGGTCTATGGCTGCAAGATGCTGCCAGGTTTTGCAAGCTGTTCGCACTTGGGGTCAGTGAGCCCAACAAACTCTGACCTGATCAACCCGGAATGATCCAAACTCTGAGCCCTGCATTGAACCCTTCATGAACTAAGGTTGCTCCACCCGCAAGCCCGTAATAGTACTAAGAATAACGACCAGAAGAAGTATGTCTTGTGCTTAAAGTCTGAACTACCCACCAGCCAATGTCAGCAGCCGCCGGTAGAGATGTCGTGATACCACCTGTGCCAAGCAGCTGAGTTTCAATAACTAAACTAAACGCCGAAGTTTCAGCACGATATTCCGATATCCTACAAATATGTTTAAACACACGTGATTATTCAAATTAACGTTCTCTCTGCTCTCTGTTCAAAGAACCATCAGCTGTCAGCTCGGTCTGAGAGGCGCGTGCGCTGAACTCCCAGCAGCCGCGGAGCGGCCGGGGGCCTGGAGCCAAAAAGAGCCAAAGCGTTTCCAGAATTCCGGCGAATGGCTACAGAGACCCGTGTGGAGACTGCACAGCCCACCCTCCGACGGCTAAAACATGCTAAAACCCAATGTGGCCTTCTTTTGTGCTGGGCTTCTTGCTTTAAGGATTTGGGCGTCCCGTTGCGGGAGTTGCCAGGGTATCGTTGCATCATGTTGCGTCAGCAACTGGCAAACGTTCGTGAGTGTCGCGTGCCGGCCATAAGTTGTCAACTTGTGAAAGTGATCGGGCGTGTCGAGGTTGCGATCCTCGCCAGAGTCCTCGTCTTTGAAGCCTGAACTCTTTGTATATCGAGATCCTCGTAACTCTATTTCATCCTCAACTTGCCTTCGCTTGATGCTCCTGGAGCATCTTTAAACGTTGCTGACTCGCGACAGTGTAGCATTGGAACTTAGAATCGTGACTGAACGAGGGTGAGCCTCGCACGATGACAAGCACAGCTGTGTATAACGCATTCCACTTCGTGGCTCCTACAGTGTCAAACGCTTTTCCCTTTCGTTGGCGTCGACGATCGCCTCTAAAAGTAACATCTGCCTGTGGACGCTCGTGATATTGATGATCGCATTCGTAGCATTGAGTTCATGAACGTTACTCTGCGTTTTGCCTGCGGGTACTGCACCTCTCTCACAGCACATGTATGCGCTCGACCTGCCAGCTGCACTCCCATGATTCCGGAGCCCCACCTTCTGTCACTCGAATCTGCGGGTGCATTGGGTGTTGGATTGGCAAGGCCTCGGCGTAGTCTCGCAATAGCCACCATCATAGCGCAGCTTCCAAGGCCAACGAAGCCACACCCTGAAATTTTCGAGGTGCCGGCTGAGCAACGCATGCACTGGTGTGCGCAGGAAGTAGGCACCTATCAGTAGGCTGTCGCAGGTGGAGCGTACTTGCTGACCCTAGGATATGCTAGGTAGGTCGCTAAATGGCGGAGGCCCCTGCTGTGTGGTCGGGGTTGTGCTTATTCCTTGCTGTATATCAGCATCTGAACATGCCACCAGACATTGAATGAGCCTGTCAATTGCCACCACGCTCGTCCCAAGGTAAGTGAAACTCATGTGATCTGGGAGTCTGGGATGCTTGCGCTCACCGGTGGCTGCGTCAGGCCTCAATTCTAGATGTTCGGTATCAGCGAAGGAGAGTGGAAACTGTCCAAGTACATGTGCAAGCTCAGCGGCTAGTCGCTGCGTGAATATGGAGCATGAAACTCGAGAACTGAAACGTCCAAAGGCCCAAAAGGTCTCAAAAAAACAGATAAAACATACACATCACCAGCACAGACGTGCAGTTTCACGACGCAGGCACTTGTATGAATAGCGTCTCAGTCTCGCTCGCGCCGAGAAAACACCATGCGTATCATGCGTGGTCCAGAATTTTTCAATAAAAGGGGATCAGCACTCAGAGTCCCTGCACACACAGCAAATTAGCGAAGCGTTTGTCAATAGGAGCCATGATGGAAGTTGCCTTCGTTGAAAGTACTACATGCAACATACGTGTTGGTTGAAAACATTTCGTGATCTATGCTCTCCTCAGGCATTGACAAGGAAGGATTGGGACAGGGAAAGGGGCTTTCTTGAAGTAAGACGGGTGTTGGCTGAACCTGCCCAAACTGCTAGAATTGCTAGAATCATTTAGCACGAGCACCAGCTCCGTACCCGCAGCTGGGCTGCGTGCTTCAACGGAGCCGACGAGGCCTCCTCAGTCGGCATCACGGAAGGGCCTCGCAGCAGGCATGGGACATGGAAGAGGAAAACCACGCAGCATTTGGTAGCTCCCGCTCCTGCGTTGATGTCAGGGCTGCTCTACGGTCTCACAAAAACGCTTTTCAGCGAGGCCCTAGAACATCGGCGCATTTCTAATCTACGTTCCCTATCATCCGATGTCATCACTTATCAGGCCCGTGGCAGGGCATCTTCTGTTCTAATACCAGGAGCGCACTCGCTGTTCCTTCTTCCGATGGCTTCTCGTAGTCTTCTCGTGTCCTTTTATGTGCGACGAGGCTTGCAAACCACCTTCCACCAGGTGGGAAATGGAAGGGTGAAAGGGTGTGCACGGAGGCAATGACTTGCTAACGTGTTCAGGAACCATTTTGTGTCATTCGGCTGCGCGAGGGAATGAAATCCCTTTCTCTTCCAGCACTTACGGCGAATCGTGTCGCTGTAGTTCAAGCTTGCTGGACTATCTTGGACAGCACTCCCTGCGTCCCACGTAAAGCTGCCCTGAGTGCACGGCCAGCCGTGTCCCAAGCCTCTGGATTGCAAGGTACCATGATGTGTTCGAGGCACAGTTTTTGTTTTCAACATATCAATCATATCACAACTGCTCAAGCCAGGCACAGTTTCCTGAGCTACCTCACTGCCTGAGCATGGAGCAGTGTTAAAAGTCGAGTCCAGCGCGCTCGCCAAGACCTTTTTCAACTACAGGAAGGTGTGAACAGAGTCCACGAAGCTGAAGAATAAAAGTATTCCGGCAGCATACTGGACACTGATGAAACTCTGCAGTCTGTCTCGTGGACATCCAGGGAGCCACGCTGCAGTTTCACTTGCTGCTGCACCTCGCCAAGCATGCAACGTGCCGTGCCGATCACTAAGCAGCTGGATCACCCGTTGCCAAGGCATCCAGACTAACTCCCATCGGAACTGCCAGGAAAAAGAGCTCACTCACCCTCGCAAGGCCTGCTTGAGGCGGTGCACCTTGAAGCTCCGTTTTGGAACTTGCAAACGCAAATATACCGATACCAACGCAAATCTGTGGTTTCAAAACTCGGGCAGCGGCTCACCGAAAGCCCCTGTCACACACATTCGCAGAATCCCCCCCCCCTCCCCCCGTGCTTTGATTTCGTGTTGGACCATTCAGGACCATTCTCTGGCCTCCTCCAGCAGCTGCAGGCGGAGCAGTTGGCCACCTCTTGGAACACATTCCTGAGTGACGCGAAGCCAGGAATCGTGGCTCCTGCTTTCAGTAAGTACTGAGGCCTGTGCAGCGAATGCCACGGGCTTTTCAAAGAATGCCTCCAACTCTTCCAAGGACACCTGACCCGTTATGTTGCACCTTCTTTAGTAGGGGCCCCCAAGTTGGCCGGGGCTATTCAGGATCCGCAGTTAAGCTGGGTGTCACGAAAAACTTCGTGCGGCGCGCCTTTAAAATGGGCCTCTTTGCCCCTTTCAAGTTCATATAAATGCCATCCTCCTTAAAATCAAATAAAGTCCCGGGACCGTCGGGACAAAGTCAGCGTCGACTGTTCAGGGGGGGAGGGGGGGGGCGAACAAGCCAAAGCAGGTGCAACATTATTGCCGCATGACCCTGAGATTGCCAGCATGCAGTCACTTGTCATACTCTTTTCATCATCCCCGAGCTGTAACTGCTGAGGTGCGTGCATGCACCGGCTCTTCATACACAAGGCCGCCCAACAATTGTGTGCTCGATTTGCTCAGCCTTAGGCAGGCCATGATGTCGACATTGCAGTTCCAATCCAGCAAACAGCTTTCCAAGCTGGGAGCTGCAAGTGGCGCACAGATGGAGCGCCAGTCGACTCTTCTCCAAGCAGGACTACCTCTGTCACAGCAGGCCAGCGGCTTCAACACGTCTCATGGCAAAGCCTGTCAGAATGTGTCAGAATCCAAGCCTGTCCATTGATGACCTCCCACCTACCGGATGCTTCAACCTGATGTCCGGTGCAGGCGCAAGGTTTGCACACGCTCCCCCCTAAATGATTGTCGAGTGTGGCACACTGCGGGTGCCGTCAGCCGAAATTGCCTCGGAATGAGAGACTTGCCGCATGCTTGCAAGGTGCACTCTGTTTTAGCAGTGCTTGGCACTGTAGAAGTCCTCAACAATCTGCCCATGCCCTGGCAGTTTCTCAGGTCCTGACGCAGTATGAGCACTTTCCGTCATTGAAAAGGGCCATGCATCGAGCGCCAAAGACTGGCCTGGGCAAAACATATCAAGTGTTCGCACGCAGTGTGGACACTTGAGCTTGCCTGCCGCATTGCAACAAATCCGAGCTTGCGGCTGCTCTTCCCCAGCACTTGCCTGGCAACTGCGGTACGAAGCGTACACTGCATCTTCAGACCGCAGATGGGCGTAGCTGATAAGCGTCCTCGTGGCCGATGTTGACCAGATTCGTTCGCTGAACGAAAACGCCACATTGGAGCTCCACCTCCCTCCTGGTCCAGGACAAGTTGCGTCCTTTATTTGCGTCCGTTCTACACATCTACCACGAACAGATCCTGGTTTTGTCACAGACCTGTCAATGCTTGCCCGGGGTTCCCAACCCTCGATTCCTCGCATTCCTCGCGTGGGGTTGCTGTTTCCGGGCCTGCCACCTGACAGAATTTTACAAAGAATCCCGCAATCCCGCAGAGCATCCCTGGAGCCAAGCAAGCCCCGAAGGATCCCGCAAAGAATCCCCCAGAGTATCCCTGGAGTGCCCACCATAGAATCCGCCCCTGCAGAGAGTCACTGGAGTGCTCAATCTCAGAGAATCCTGCAAAATACCCTTGGCATGCAAACAGTGAAACTGTCTCCTGATTCTCCTGCAGGTATTCGTTTCCCACTCTCGTTTGGTTAAGTGCTCCTGGAGTGCTCTACATCAAATGGCATAGTTTAGGATGGGGATACGCCTGGCAGCCGAAGTTAGCTAAAGCAAGGCTTGAGGTACAAAAAGTGCAAGCCTTGGCGGAGCGGATGCGGCAATATCCGCTTCATCCGCCTGCCCAAGATGCCCAAGTTTGAGCACATTTGAGAAGTTTTCCGCCTCTATGACTCGCGCAAAAGCTGTGCTGTTATTTTACCTACTCTCTTCAGTTCTCATATGTTTTCTTCTTGCGAACTTGCGGACTTGCCTCTTGGGAATCGAGACAGAGAGCCCAAGCCCGCTGCAAGGGGCTTCCGGAAACCACAACCTGACCACGATCTCCTTTCGCCTCATTTCGCCTCCTGGATGCTCTGATTGCAAGGGCCCGGAATCGAGATTCTGACCCCACAAAGTTGTCCAAAGTCAGCAGCCAGAACCTGCGACTACTGCGGGTGCAGATGCGCAGTGCAAGCCACAAGATTGGATGAAGACTCCACAACATCTTGTGGCCCCGGCTACTGTGATCAAATCACCGTCCCGCATGCGAGCCACCTGACGGGACATCTAATTGAAAAGCTGCCTACTTTTGGAGAGTGTCCTTGCCATTCCTTGCCCACACTAAGCCATGATCAACTGCAGAAGATGAGATGCGGTCCTTCCTTGCCTTGCAACCACAAGTCGTTCTTCCGAGGTGTGAAACAGGCAGGTCGCTTGGGCTCAGCGACACAGAAATGCAGTTCTGCCGAATCCAACCTGCAGAAAGAGAGCGCTCTCCTTCTCAGGCGACCTTCTGCTGCATCATTGCCGGAGCTTCGGGTGTCACGAACAGTCGGTGTGAGAACACCTTAGTTTGCCAGCTGTTTCATTGCGGCCAATATTACCTTTCCAAGTCTAAGCACTGCCCCCTTCACCTGACGCTGGTCCGTGCTTTCGTAAAATGCATAGACCAGCTTCTTGTCTGACCGGCAATTTTGCTGCCAGAAGCACAGCGTAGGCCGCAATGGAAGCCGCCAAACGAAGCACCTCAATTACTGCGCGCACTGGCCTCAGGTTAGCCTCTGGTCGCCCACCAACCATTCCAAAATGCTCTGCCAGCCTGCCTACTGCTTCACAAGTGCTACTGGTAAGAACAAAGGATCACAAAGGGAATTGCCTCCTCCATGTCTGACACCTGCACGAGCTTGAAGAATCCGAAATCCTTGGGCACCAGAAACTTCTGCCACGAGTCTGCATGCTGGCCAAACAATGACAGAAGTTATTCTACAAGCGCCGGGTTTATCTCGACCCACCCGGTGTAAAGTCGGCCCAACCCCTGTGGCACACAGCAAAGCAAGGCAGAGGAAGGAAGTCACCCCAGGTGGTGTGAAGTCGGCCCAGCAACAGCGAAACCCCAGGACTTTTGAGAGCTTTCGCCCCCTTTTACAAAAATGGCACCAGAGCTGTGCACAGTGGGTTGAGAAGCCTTAAAACATCATTGGTAAGCGGTTTTGAAGTGCGAAAATGCAGGGGCACATGTTTTTCGGATGGTTTTACGGCCGTTGCAGGGTTGGCAAGCATGGGTTGGGCTGAGCAACTTTGATCCGATGGATTTCCCCCCTGCTGAGCAACTTTGATCCGATGGATTTCCGCCCTGCTGAGCAACTTTGATGTTTTTTAAAGTTGCTCCGATGGATTTCCCCCCGTTCGCCCCTGCTGCGAAACTTTGATCCGAGCAACTTCGCATGCAGTGTGAAGGAAAATCCACTGTTTTGGGGAGGGGCATATTTGTGGCCCTGCGCGAGGGTCGCGCGACCTTGCGCGAGGTGAGGCAAGGCACTGGCCTTTTGATGAAAGAACAATACCTGGGCCTGGAGGCCTCGGGACACTCTTGGGAGGACCCTGGGAGGCCCCTGCGTTTCTGAAAGCCCCTTGCGAGGTTGTTGAGAGGCCTCTCTGGGCAGCCTCCCCTACAGGGGGTCCTCCCCACTGCAGCACGTCAGCGACGCCAAGCAGGGCAAGGCCATAATCACGGTGGCTCCCTGTGTGTGTGGCAACGGTTGCCGCCACAGAGGAACATCCTAAGTTCTCTAGGGCTCTGAGGCCAAAAAAGTCTCCTCAGGGACAGCAACACATCGGCTAAGGTTGTAAGTCGCGCCGATTGTTTTTTGAAATTCTGCTTCATCTTTCCCGAGTGGCACGCCCCACACAAGCCATCTGAGAACATAGCCCATGTGACATGGTGTCGCGGTTTTTACAGCGTTCCCCGAGGGGCACACTGGGATTGGGACAACTTCCGCCTTGCGGGGAATGCTTGCAATGGTTTCATGCATCGGAAGCTTCGGGGTTACAGCACAAACAACGATCCGGAAATGTTCCAAAACCACGTGCACAGTACTATAAGACCGCAAAACTCTGGGTCTGCTGAAATATAAGATATGTTGGGGATACGGGAAAATAAGCCCAAGCCCTGCGGCGCATGGGCTTGGCACGACTTCACCCCGGCAGGGTCGACTTAAACCTACCACGCGTACGAGTAAGTCCCACAGGTGTCGAAGCAAGGTGCGTGCTGCGATGTCCGCGTAGCGGCACTCCAAGCGCATTCGAGCATGAAGTACCCAGCAGCTGCAGACCTTGTCAGAGATTTGCCACAGAGAACCTTTTTTCACCATCTTTCAGTACATGTCGCAAGGAACGGTGGCTCTGAACGTGGTACTATTGTGACACCACAACAAGTTTGGAATCCCCCAATTGTCAGCATGACACGAATACAGCATAATTTCGCGCACGGACCGATACCACACACCTATCCACACGGCCCTATGTTGCCAATCGCTTGTCCAGTTGTTGCTATCTTTCTTCTTTGTCCTCTTTATATATCTATACACATGTCACATACATATATATATATATATAATATCTCTCTCTCTCTCTTTGCAATCTACAAGCTTGGGCATGCCACCAAGCACGCAGCAAGCTGCGCGATGAGGCAAAGCGCATCGCCGGCATGAGGCCTTGCGGCGGTTCTCGGTTCTTGCCCAGACAGTTCTCAGGGTGTCAGTCCATCTTTGTGCTGCGGGGCCTCCGGCGTCCCATATCGATGTCGTGCCACCTGCATCCGAAGCACCCGAACTGAAATGATAGTCTTGCCACTTGCCACAATCAAATATCTCCAGGATTCCAGGATCCCTTCTGGATTCGAACCCTTGTCTCAATTCCTGAATCCCCACTTCAGGAAGTCCGTGACCCTGTTAGAGGGTGGGGGGGGCAGGTGACACAGTGACGGACGAGACATCACGAGAACCATCAGGGCGGCATGGCGCGGGACGGTACAGGACGGGGACGAAGGTGCGGCTTGGCTTGGAGCTGCTTGGCTCAGGGTTTGGCTTGGGTGCGGGGTTTCGGCTTGGTTTAGCTCAACAGGTGTCGGTCTTGTATGATCCAAAACGCGTAGCTTGCGCCGCCCGCCCCGTTTGCAAACAATGGTGCCATGACAGGTTTCGAAAGGTTCAACAAATGGGCATGATTTTCTTCAAAGCAAGCTCGCGTGGATTGAAGAAGTGGAGTGGATTGAAGAAGTGGAGTGGTGGGGGCGCGGCCCGCCTCCCCCATTTACAAAGTCAGAAAAGACCAAGCCCAAGCTGCACTCGAAACAAAAAGGGAGCCAAGCCGAGCCGATCCAAACCGCACCAAAAGCCAAAACAAAAGCCTGGGCCCTTCCCGGATCGAACAGCGGAGCGGGGAGGTGAGGGAGGTGAGGGAGGTGGGGAAGGTCTGGTTCTGCACGGGGTCCAAGAAGACGAGCTTCTTCATGCAGGATGCGGACATGCCCCCTAGAAATGGCCTGTCATCGGTGGAGAGTATGCAGCTTGCAGCTCCTCAGTTCAGGAAGTGCTGTAACTTGTGTGAGATCTGCCTAGTGATGGCTTAGCAGCTTAGCATGCAATCTCGCCGAGAAGTCTGGTGCAGACATTGTAGCTTTCACAAGCCAGTGCCTGGAAATTCAACATGCCATCTGCCCAGTGTAGAAGGACTGGGGCACAGTGGAGCCAGAACCTTGACAATCGTTTGGTCATGCAGCCCGTCGTCATGAACCGCTTCGCTTCTAGACTCTAGACGAGCTTTCCACTTCTAAGCTTTGCGAAAGTTGCCTGCTTCTGCACGTGGGCTGCGCATACTCAGGAGTTGCTTTGACCATGATACACTGATACTGGTCTGTATCGCTTATCATTCATCCTCGTTCATCCATCGCAACGGCGTTTGGCGTTTGGACAAAGTCATGCTTGGCCTGGGGCCATTTTTGGTCCTGGCTCTTTGGCACATCCTCGAAATATCTCGAAACCTTGAACCACATCTCGCGCGCAAGCCGCAATGCGCCGGAAACAGTGGAGGGGCGGTCCCGGGGTACTAGTACCTGGGAATCCTGACTAGGCATGAACCAGGGACAACTTATCTGCCTGTGCAAGTCACGCACGCCTCCTAGGTCCTAGGCCAGCGGTGATGCTCCAGTATGAATGCAGGTCACTGCCAAACCACGCTCCAGAACGAATCATGACCTTCAAGGCACGAGCCGCTTCAAATGATGCATATCGGCACGTTCTCGGGCAGTTTGCAACTGGACCTAACCTCGTGCGTCTGCTTGCCGTGGTCGAAGCTGTGCAAACCTAAGCATAATTCGCTGGAGATGGTTTTTTGCGTGTATCCCAAGTCACAGCTCGCACAAGATCTCCGTGCATGGACACTCAAGTACCAAGGGCCCTGCACGTAGGTGAGAAAGATGGCATGCGCACCGCCAAAGCTGGGGCCGTGTAGGAAACGAGTCAAATGACGCCTTGGCGACACTGGATCTCAACAGCTTCTCAGTTCGAGTTGTTGATGCTTCGGATTTGGATGGTACAAATGCTGGCCTTGCCATACTCTCGTTCCTTGAGTGACGGCGTCAGGGTTGCTAATTACAACGCTTTTCAGGCCCGCCCAAAAAAATAGCTGCCCTCATGGCCATTGCTGGGCCAATCGATGGGCCACCTCTGCCGGTAAGGGCTGTCCCCATGCTCTTCCCCAGAACCCTCAAGACAGGAAGTTCACGGGTTCCAAGAGCCATGCAATCTGAGCCACGACCCCTTCTCGCAAAGACCGAAATACAGGATGTGCAGCGCCAGGGTCCAGGTAAGCAGCTCAAGCCACACCGCCGCCTCAGAAGACGACTCTTAGTAGACGTTACGTACTGCGCGAGGCATAGGCCAGCCTTTGGAAGTTCCATGAAGAGGCAGGCGAACAGGTGGGCGGCAAATAGCCTTTTGCTAGACTTGATGTGACAAACTCCATGTGCCAGCTGGTATCTGGAATATTTGGTGCGCGCATGTCAGTGTGGGCCGAATCACTCGGCATGAACACTGGCCTTCGCGACAAGTAGATAGGAAGCGGATGAGTAGGGCTCCAGACCCGATGCACAGCCTGCCGACTTCACTCGATTCACACGCCACACATGTTGTTGTTGCCTTGGTGGCTGTTGCACAGCGAGAGGGATTGTCTTTGATGGACAGGCAAAGTAGTATCTAACTCCGACTAACAAAATCGCTGGTTGCGCAAATTTCTGGTGTTAAAGGACTTTTCAAGAAGGCTCTTCAGCAACCAGCGTTCACGAGTCGTGCGCAGCGAGGTTTTCGAAGTTGCATAGGGCCACCAAAAGAAGCCAAATGGCCCGCCTGCGTCCAACCACGTCGTTGCTGGACAAGAAGTAAAACGTGTATGTGGCGAAGAATTTAGGGCTTGTGAGACTTGCTTGGGCGAAATTGTCTTAAAGACTGTAGCTGTAGCTTCGGGATAGGGTGGAATCCAAACCGAACATCCAAACATCGTCATACTTTTTCCAGAAAAAAAACAGACACCCCACCTCCCCCCCCCCCTCCCTAGGATAAAAGACTGCGTGAGGCATCCGGGAATCCGGAGCCCCCGATTGTCAATCAATCTTGCCATTTCGCGCATGGGTCGCAGGTGATATTGTTTGGATCAACCTGCACGTTGCCCGGGACGATTGCATGGATTCAGAACTGAGCCGCAGGCCATGAGTGCTATAGCTAGCACGGTCAGAACGAGGGCAAAAGCACATACCTCAGTTAAAAACTGTGAAGAAGTCAGGGGCGCAGCCAGGATGTGCTTCATTCATCGAGTCTGCTTGGGCACAGACTCCGCGGGCGAAATTTAATTCCATGGCCACGGGCGCACAAAATCTCAATGCGTTCAACGGTGTGTTTATACTGTGGCTGTTGCCACTGCAAGTACAATTAACATGCCATGGTTCCCAGCACATTCCAAACAAGAATTGATGGCAACAACCAGCAACTCCTGCCGCAAGTATGTCTTCATTACTTGGTGTAGAAACGCACAGCGATCCGTGTGCTGAAAAGAAAGACGCTTAGTCGACGGAAACCATGGCCAGCCGAAAGGCGCAAATGCTTTCATGTGGGGTTGCAGTTTCAGAAAAAAAGACTTCAGCCTTATCTCAGCTTTGACAGCACCTCAGCCAACTTGCACCGGACGTAGGCGGAAGCCGCAGCCTGTTCAATCTGGAACCTTCTGCTGCATCTCATGGGGACTCGTAGAGTTCAGCTCTGGCATTCGCCCTGCACCCGGCTGCCTGGCAAAGCTGCTCGCTGTCAGTCACCAGCCTGGCACAACTGAACTGTTCGTTTTGTAGATTTGTCATCGCGCCAAAAAGCCAGATCCGCAGTGGTGGCCAGCGTGATGAGGGTGCTGCTTCCTTCCTCGGCTTTGAACACTTGTGTCAGGCACACAACCATCTTCCAGCCTCATCTGCGAAGAAACGTTTCCGTATGCTTTCATGCTCGAAGCGCTACATCGATCAATGCCCTGCTGCTGCATGACGTCACCTAGAGCCTGGTTCCAGCTTCATTTGCACAAATGGTTACAGGATGTTACAAGCTTCAAGATAGAAGCACATGGAACTTCAGCCTGCTTCAGCTTGCGACCTAATTCGTGTTAACCTTCAGGGCAAGGCTGCGTGGGCCAGGCTGCACTCGTTATGCAAACCCATGCGAACCCTGATGTCGCGATATGTTCACTGTCACACTGCTTGGCCAAGCTGCGCTGCTGCTGAAGCATCGAGAAGGGCACCAGCATCTAGGTAGAAGGATTCCCTGTCCTGGCAAGTGGCTTTCACGGTTCGGCCGACATTCTGCAACATCTCATGCCCCTAACCCAGCACACAGGCACTGCTGCAGCGTATGGAGCAGGCAACGTGGGCACGTTCGAGTGAAGAAGCCTCGGCTGTTTTTGTTGAATGCTGGAACAAGGCAATAGACATAGACGCTACACGTGGCGCATCATGGCGCCCGGCTGGCGCCAGTGGCCTCCTTTTGGTTGCTCTTTTGGCTGGCGGCGAGGTCTCTGCGATGCTTGGCCTCACAAAATGCAGATGCACAGGCAGGATGGTACGAGGCATAAGTTTATACCCACCATGCGTCCATAAGATGAAATCTCAGAAGTGTCAGTGTCAACATTGACGATGCAGAAAGATGAGACTCTCTGAGTCTCCAACAACATGAATACACGTCATACTTCTCCTGCTCATGCTGGCAATACACCCATACCTTGCGAACGCTCAAGGTTAGCCACGCTGAAGTGTGTGGCAACTACGTTCTTTGATTGGCATTCTATGATTGAGGCACAAGCAAGTTGCTCTTCATCCACAGCTTGCACTCGTCCTGCGATATGCTTTCCAGTCATTTGTGCAATTTTATGCAATGTTGCAAGGGTAGGGAATCAAGCTTGAAATACCTTGAACCCTGAAACTTGACTGAAGCCCTCTCCGGCTCCCATCTCCGAGACCGACAAGAGTTTTGATGCCGGCAGCCTTGCGGCTACCGGGGATTCTCAACTGCCAGTCACTGGCAAAATACGGACCAAATGCGGAGGAGAGGGAAACAAACGAGGCGCCTCGGCACGGCTGCGTGAGCAAAGGCCATCTCATTATCGCCTGACATGCAGTTCATGGCCAACAGCTGCCAAACTGCTTGGAGCTTGGAACAGAACGGGCAAGCATGGTGAGGCCTGTGAAAGGCTTCGTTTTCGTCGGCCATGATCCAGAAACACCAGTTGCTGGCCGGGTTGTGACCCTTATCTTCTCGACAGGGATTAGACTGATTACACTACGTGCTACAGGAGCCATGTAGTGGCTTGGTAAATCTGTGGGAAACAAGAAGAATCAGCAGCTGTTCTCTTGAACCCGACCAGACACCAGGTAATCAGCATGGTAAGCAATGTCTCAGTGTCAGTGCATCTCCCCGCAAACATGTCCAGAACAAAGCTGGTCGCGCAACCTTTTGCTTCCATAGTCTTCATCGTACATCACTTGGCAGCTCGCCTGCATGAAGGCGAGGCGTGCGCGGTGTGCGCTGCGGATTGCATGGGTGGCCATCCATAGCCGCTTGCAATCGCGGCGATGTTTGAGGGACGTTCAATGTAGAGGGAGCTGGCTGTGGACCCTCGGCGCGGGCGTCGGCCCTGCTAAGCCGCCGAGCTCCTGCGTGCGTCTCGTCACGCTTGAGCTGCGTCTTGAATACTGCCAGGTCTTCCATCAGATTCATATACACCTCGACCTTTCTTCTAACAATTTTGTCCACCTCAAGGGCGTACCACTCGAGGTCGTAGGCAGCTCCTTGTTGAACTTGTGATAACAGCTCACTCTCCTTTGTTAGGAGCCGAGCATCCTCTTGCAAAGCATGCATGTGCTGTGTAACAATGCGGTCTTCCCAATGCCGGGACTCTGCCCAAGCCTGCGATGCCGCTGGGAAAGCTTGCGCAGCCGGTGCCAATGCAGAAGGACCCCCACCTCCTTGGCCGCCTTGCTGGCATGGCCCTGCATGCTTGTCCTCCAAGTCTTCAAGGTCTTCATCCAAAAGCTCCTCTTCAGAGTGCAAGTCGAAAACTTCATCTTTTGACAAATCAGGAACTGTGCCGCTGTTGGGTCTTTGCCTAGCACCGGCAATGACTCCGCGCTCTTGCGTAGGCGATGGGCTTCGACGCTGGGACTGCAGCTTGCGGTCAGGACTTTGAGTGCGAATGCCTGTGGACAAGCGGCGCCCTGCTGCAGAGTCACCATCCTCCACGGTCTTCCCGCTACGTGGATGCTGCCCTGGATGCTCTTTCAGCCGATCACTGTAGCGAAGTGTGTTCACACTATGGTCAGCAGAAGCCATGCCCGGCGAAATGCAAGCTATCATGATGGTCTTTGCCGGCCCGCGTGATATGAAAGCATCTCGCAACACTAATGTCAGCTTGGAAGCCCTGAAAGGTACATGTGCCTCCCGCCGATCGCCCATGGCACGGATGCATTCTTTGAGCGCCAGGAGTGACTTGTTGATTTGCGCACCCTCAACACGCCTCTGACGAATGCTTGACTTGGAGTCTGCTGCCCGTTCAGAACCAGCCAGGTCGACCAAAGTAACTTTGCCGTGAATGCTTCCACCACCTGTTTTCCGAAGAAAAACCACACAAATTGCGTGGGAACGTGATGAGTCTCGATTGATGGCAGTGCCTTGGGTGGTTCGAAGAGAGTTTCCCAAGTCAATACACTGCTGCATCTCTTGTGGGTTCGCGGTGCCGCGCTCTACAAGCCCTGCAATCTGAACCTCGTTGTTTGCATCCTCCAAAGTCTCTAAGCGCTGTCTGTTGTTCAGCAAGTCATATGGCCTCCCACCGTAGATCTCAAAGAACGAGATCGACACTGTCAAATCCAAAGCAGAATACCTTCGGACATGTTCGAAAAGGTGCTCAGTAAGCAAACGTTGAATGCCCGTCATCGTGAATGTCTTGCCTGACCCGGTTTGGCCGTAGGCAAAAAGTGTGGCACGCCCACCTTTTGCCAGAACCCATGGCACGATGGGAGACGCCACAGTCGTGTACACGTCCTCAGTCGTGCATTCTTCGTCAAACACTCTGTCAAATTCAAACTGATGGGACTCAAGGCATTTTGTGATGCCATCCACCTTCAATTTTGTCTCATGAATCACAGCACAAGGATTGCAAGCTGTGACGCAATCCAATTCTGAATTTGTCACCTCGTGCTGCATGATGGGCCGCTTCCGTACGCATACCATGACACCATCAGGAGCACCTGGGTCCAATGGCTCGAAGCGCACGGGCTGGCGGTAGTTCTGCTGACGGTAGTTCTGGATCATCCTGTGAAAGTCGATGTCCGGGGCATGTCCTCCACACTGGGCTCCTAAGAGTGCTGCCTCCTCTTGTCGGCTGCGCCGTACCTCCTCTGCTTGTCGTCGCCTCTGCTCCCTGTTTGCATCAATCCGCCGAATCTCCTCGACGGTAGAGGAGGTCACCCGACGAACGTTGGGTTGCGCTCCATGCGCGCTGTGCGCACCCTTGCCTAAAGATCCTGATCCCACAGACCCGGCGGGCGGCCCACCTGAAGCTATGGATGACCTCGTTGTTGGACCACTCGGGTTTGGCGCGGAAGATTTGCCCAAAGCTGGGGACCGAGCTCTGTTGGCGCCAGTCTTAGTCTCTGGTGATCTTGGGCGCGCATGACCAGCATTTTGCCCGGCCTGTGCCGTCCGCCGATTGCTGGGAATGCCCACATTCATGCGGCCGAACTACGCTGCCCTTCCCACCTTTGCTTGTACTTCAATCTAAGCCCAGAACAGCTGCACCGGAATGCAAGATGGCAAAATGCAAGCAAGTGAACAAATTGAGCATCAGTTGCAAGCAGAATTGAAATGGTGGGCGAGCTCGCGAGTCGTGATATGCCAAAACGAAGCAACACATGCACAAAAGGCGCATACTATCATCTTGTCGAAATCGATCGTTTCAAGCTGGTGCTTCCGACGCATGTTTTGTTGCAAAAAACCGAAGCACAGTTGGATGAACACAAGTTGCTTAATATGTATCTATTCTCGCTCTCAGCAAGTCTGTTCAATGGGACCTATCCGTTGATTCTTGCAGCAACAACAACAACATTCATTCACCTGCGCACTCCTTCATCTCCTCCTTCATGCGCTCGTTGATAAATTAGGGTCCCTTTTAGGACCCCTATATAGTATGGCACCCTTCAAATAAAGACCCCCAAAACGATCCGATTTTGCGATTTTTGCGAACACGTTGTCGTCGTCGTCGTTGTTGTTGTTGTTGTTGTTGTTGTTGTTGTTGTTTCTCCCCACCTTCGGTGTGGGGTTGTTAGATTTTGAACTCAACTCTTCTCCTCGCCCGGAACTCTTCACATCGCCCGGTCTATTCCTAGACCCCGTGGAGTGCCCAATGTCAGAGACTCCCTGAAATGCCCAACCTCAGAAACCTTCTGGAGTGCCCAGAGACTCCCTGGAGTGCCAGAGACTGAATGGATATTCGTTTTGTGTCCGCATCATGGGGCGTGGCAGGGATTTTTGGACATGCTTTTGAAGGGGACCCCTCCCCTCTCTTTGCTGCTGTTTTCGCGCCCGCCGCCCTCCCCCTCCCCCCCCAAAATTTGCTATTGTACAGCGGGCCGGGCCCCTGGTCCCATCCAATTTGCCTCCGGCTTCCCTCCAAGGGTCGCAGTCCACGCACGACGGCAAAAAGTCTAGTCCAAAATTTTGGCTTGCGTCCCCAATAAAAACCACCCTGCTTGCTCACGTGTGTATCTCGCTTTCCGGCTCGCGAGTATGCCCATGTTACGAGTACCAGTGAGTCAGTGCGTGTGACTGGCCAGAGCATCCATGCCTGCTCGACGATTACGTCCATGTTACTAGTGCGTGGGAATGGCCAAATCGCCCACACGATGCTTACGTCCGTATTACCAGTGCGTGCGAATGGCCAAAGACATCCATGCCAACTCGATGACTACGTCCATGCTACCAGAACGCGCGAATGGCCAGAGCATATCCATGCCCGCACGTTGCACGTAGTCGACCCGAACAGCACAAAGCCTCCCTAGAGTCCAAGCAGCGGCAGCCGTCCTGCGCGACTCTGGGGATGCACTAGAAAGCCAGCACAAAACAAGGAAAGAAAGCGGGGCGGGCCACCAGCCCGCACGAAAAACCAAGCCAAATTGTCATAATAGTGCTGAACAGCCGACGCGAACAGCAATATGCGGAGGGGCTTCCGTAGAACAACCTGACGAAGGGAAGCAACTCCGGCGCTACTTCCCGTAACTTCGACAGGAAACCGCGCGAGACATACTATCATACGGAATCATACGCGCTGCGTCCGTTCAAGGAAACGACCACCACAAAACAAGATCGATTTGCTGAGTGAATACCAAAAGGTCGAGAACATGTCGAGAACGGGGGTAGGGGATCAAAAAAAAACTATTTGGGATCAAAAAATAATTTATTTCTAGGCGGATCAAAAAAATTATTTGGGATCAAAAAACTATTTGCTGAAGGCTTCGAAGGCTTCTTGCAAGCGGAGCGGAGGCTGTAAACGCTCAGAAATGCAGCAGTTCTGGCCGTTCGCAAGCTCTAAAGACCGAAAAAATAAGACATTCATGCGGGAACTACTGAAAATAGCAGCATCTCCAGAGAGGCTGCAGATATTGTACAAAAACAGCAGTTCTGCGCTTTCAGAGGCTGGAAATACTGTACGCTGCAGCATTTCTGAGTTTCCAGAGGCTGCAACTACTGAAAATAGCAGCATTTCTGCGATTTCAGAGGCGGGAAATACTGTAAATAGCAGCATTTCTGAGTTTGCAAAGGCTGCAAATCAATGCTGGCATCTTGGCATTAGAAGTTTCAAAAACATGCGTATACTCTGAAGCATGTATATTCTGGCATAGTATTGTGGAAATTCTTGTATAATATTGTATGCCATTGTATATTCTTGCATGTTAATTGTTGTACATGGTTGTATAAATTGTTGAGTATTATTGTATTTCAGAACTATTTTCTTGTGTTTATGTATAATATTGCATATTCTTGCACGTTATTGAATGTTATCGTATATTTTTAAAATTCTTGTATATTGTTCTCTTTTTTTGTAGTTTACTGTATATTATTGTATCTTATTGAATTTTCTTTGTATATTATTGCAGATTATTCTATATTATAGTATATTATTGTAGATCTTGTATATTGTTGTATATTATTGTCTACTATTGTATATTATTGTTATGTTGTACACTATTTTATCTTGTTGTATGTCACTGTGTTTTTGTGCTTTTCTATATTGCTGTACATTTTTTGTATATTTTTGAAAAATACTGTCAATATGGTTGTATATTATTGTATATTTTTGTACATTGTTGTCTATTATTGAATATTATTGTCAATTACTGAAAATTATTGTAAGTTATTCTTTTTTACGTGTATATTGCTGCATATTCTTGTACATACTTGTATATTGTTGTCTTGTGTATTATTGTATATTATTGCATCTTTTTGTAATATATTCTTGTATATCATTGTATCTTATTGTGTCTTCATGCTTTGCAAAAAAGTGCTCGCATCATGGGATTGGAAGGATTCATGTGCTTTGAAGCAAGCTTGCCCGGACTAAAAAAACAGCGGGGGGGTTGGGGGGGGGGGGGCGCAGCAAACACAACGCTCGCATCATTGGTTTGGAAAGGATATTCATATACTTTGAAGCAAGCTTGCCCGGCTCTAAAAAACAGCGGGGGTTTGAAGGGGGGGCGCAGACCCCCCCCCCCCCCCCATTTGCAAACACAATGCTCGCATCATGGGTTTGGAAGGGATTCATACACGTTGAAGAAGCTTGCCCGGCGCCAAACAAACAATAAATATGTATTGTGTATTATGAATTCTATATCAAATCGCAGTAAATATATACATACATGCTTTGTTATTCCGATTTTAGTATATTTTTATGATACAAAGCTATACTATACGATATTGCGTTCTATTCTACGCCATGCCACTAAAATATTGTGTTATGCTTTGTTTTAACATATAGAAAAAAGAAAACACACACACACATATATATACATATATATATATACATTATAACATATGATGTTATGTTATGATGTTATGTTATGATTTCCTACATATCCTTTCCCGTCCTTTCTTTTCCTTTCTTTTCCTTTCTTTTCCTTTCCTTTCCTTTCCTTTCCTTCCTTCCTTGCTTCCTTGCTTCCTTGCTTCCTTGCTTCCTTGCTTCCTTGCTTCCTTGCTTCCTTGCTTCCTTGCTTCCTTGCTTCCTTCCTTCCTTCCTGCCTTCCTTCCGTTCCCTCCCTCCCTCCCCTTCCCTCTCTCCGTCGGAAGAACAGAATAAATTATTTCTTGATCCTAAATAAATTATGTTTGATCCAAAAAATTTTTCTTGATCCCAAATAAGTTTCTTTTTGATCCGCATCCCCGAGAACGGAATCGCATTGGCCGAATGAAGCTGCCTCACCCACAGGCCGAACGGCCCAACTACGCCGCGGGAAGCCGAGCGTCGCCCACAAAGCTACGCGGTCCGACCACCATCCGCCTGCGCCCAAGTCGGCGCGTTGGCCCGACAGGCGGGCCCGCTGGAGCGAGCGGTAGCTCGCAGCTGCAGGCAGGCGGGGGCGCGGGTTGCAACAATGTGGCCTTACGCAACCTGATTTTCTGGTTCTTTGGCTCAAGCTCAAGGCTCAAGCGGGCCTCAGGGGGGGGTTCCACGCGATGCAAAAGTTGTGTGTGATGGATCAAAATGAAGGCAACGTTGACTCCGCCGGCAAAGGGTTTGAAAAGAGAGGCCACGCGATTCACATTACATGAAATGGAGGGTGTCGAGGATCTTGACCCACCGTCAGATGAGGAGAGGCATTTGCAAGTGTCTGCCCGCACCATAGCCGACATTGTGCGTTATGAGGTTCAGACAGGATTGTCCAACGTGGATACCAAACTGACCAACCTGCAAAATGATGTCAAAATTCGAGTGGAGGGCATCAAGCAGCTTTCAAGAAAGCTCCGAGTTACAGGAGCTTCTCGTGCGTTCCGCGCGAACCCTTCAGAAACAAGCCAAGGGCCAGGGCAAGAGCAAGGGCCGACAGGCCCAGTAGGGACATCTCCGTTCGAGTCGATTTTCACAACATCCTACATTTTCATCGGGTGCCGAGCCCGAGTTTTCGGTGGGTGCAACTCCAACACTTCAAGTACATGTACAGAACAAATTTTCAGAAGAGCGTTCGCGTGAGGTGGTTGTTTTTGCCAAAAATGCCAGATTACATTCAGCAGACAAGATATCAGAATTATTGGGAGAATTGGTGCAGATCAATGCTTGGGATGTTTTGCTCTTTTCCGAGACCAGACGATCCAGTGAGGCTGTTGATTTAGAAGGTGGCCATCGCTTGTTTTCATCTCAACGTCCGACGGCTTGTGCAGGTGTGGCGATACTTGTGCATTCAAAACATGTGGCAGCAGTTCAGCGAGTGCAAACAGTTGATGAGCGTGTGATGTATGTGGACTTGCGCATCAATGGGCTCACATTTCGCATGGTATCGGTTTACATGCCACATGCAGGATATCCGACGGAAGACTTGATGCAAACGTATGATTCTCTGCACTGCGTACTAGAAGGCGCGCGAAAAAGGAACATAGCATATGTTGTCGGAGGCGATTTCAACACTCAGCTACATGTTGGTCCGCGCGGAGACTTGCTCATGCAGACAGCTCACATGTTCAGCATGGTCATCGCAAATGCAGAGCAAGAACATGACAGTTGGACGTTTTGCAGTTCAATGGGGGTACGACGTCGTTTGGATTTTGTGCTTTGTAGTACTGGTTTTGACGTTACGCATGGTGGAGCAACTGACTTGCTGGATTTGGGGTCCGATCATCGAGCGGTACGTGCGGCCCTTGAGGTGACCGGGCCGCGTAGCCTCCAAGGACGCAAGCCAGTCGCACGCAAGCAACGCTGGTCACCGTCTGTCGCAGAAAAGCGCAGGTATCAGATAAACTTGGACACCTGTCTTCAACAGTCGGCGCTGGTCAACATGTATGAGCTTGAATCTTGCGTCGCGCGTTGTGCTAAACTTGCGAGCCAACAAACTGCACAGCGTGATTTGGCCGATGTGAAGCCTTGGCAACGTCAGGATTTTCAGGACTTGCTTGCTCAACGTCGGCAGTGCAGGGACAGAGAGGGTCGTGCTCGGCTTTCCAAACAGATACGTGCTCATCTTCGCAGGCATATGAGAGACAGAAGAAATCGCCGGGTGAATGACATTCTTTCGGAATTTCGTTGTTTGAATCGGATTGAGGATGTTTACCACAACCCTTGCAAAGCAGTAAAAAACACCAGGGAGGGTCCATCGCCACATGAATTTACAAAGTATTTGGAGGACATTTTCACGCCTGACCGCATGGAAATGCAAGATCCGCATGTGGGCTCGCATGATGTCGTGCCACCATTCCACCTTCATGAGCTGAAACAAGCGATCAAGAACTTGCGGCATGGCAAGGCCGCAGATTGCGATGGGCTGGTGCTGGAGATGTTTTCGTTTGCAAGTGATAACCTATTGACGTGCTTGTTGGGTTTGTACAACAAGGTGCTATCGACCGGTTATGTGGAGCAGTCATGGAAAAATACCGTTTTTACCATGCTGCCTAAAGCGGGCGACAAGTCTTTGGTACAGAACTGGCGTCCGATTGCGGTCCTCAAAATTACGTACAAAATTTTTTCCAAGCTACTATTGGGACGCTTGGCTCCTTTGATGGAACCCACACTGTCACCAGACCAAATGGGCTTCCGTCCTTGTACAGGGGTGGAACACGCGTTAGTGGTGCTTGATTCAATGCTCGGGAAGTGTGCGGAATGGGGATGCGCATTGTGGTGTGCAAGTCTTGATTTACGCAAAGCCTTCGATCGAGTTAATCACGAGTCACTTTTTGCAGCGTTGGATGCGGCTGGCATGCCTGGTGCATACGTTTCTTTGCTGAGATCCTTATACACGTCACAAACGGGCGCTGTCAGAGATGGTCGGCCATTTCATATACGGCGTGGGGTCAAGCAAGGTGATGTTCTCAGCCCTCTCCTCTTCAACGTTGCCTTGGAATATGCGTTGGATAAATGGAAGCAGCGTCTCAGTCATCATGGGTGGGATGTTGGAACTGCAGTGCGATTGACAAACATTCGTTTTGCTGACGATCTTCTGCTGTATGCGAAGTCTTGTAGTGAACTTACCACAATGATCACGTTCTTGAAGCAAGAGCTGTGCAAAATTGGCTTGGAATTGAATGCAGACAAAACCAAGATATTCACAACGTTGTCTCTCGAATTACCAATGTACATTGAAGTTGATGACGATTTGCTGGAAGTGTTGTTCGAAGGCAAGACGCACAAATATCTGGGGCGCTCCCTATCCGGAAATGTTACAAAAAGGGCAGCTGTCGAAGTCGCTCACCGTTCACAAGTGGCTTGGGGGAAGTTCATGAAACACAAGCACGTTCTGCAGAACAAACATATTGCAGTTCGTAATCGGCTGAAGTATTTCGATGCTGTGATTACTCCCACTGTGCTGTTCAGCTTGCACGCGCTGCCTCTGACCCAGAAGCAACTTCATGACCTCAATATCTTGCAAAGGCGTATGCTACGTTCTATTGTTGGTTGGCGACGGGTGGATGGTGAACCATGGTCTGACACCATGACGCGCATGAATCAACGGGTCGCCTCCGCCCTCCAACAGCACCCTGTCACTGCGTGGGATCAGCAATTGCTGTCTAGGCAGTACAACTTTGCGGCAACCGTGACGAGAAGTCAATGGCCGAGCTTGGTTTGCAAATGGGATCCCAGAACTCGGTGGTCAGCGAATACGACAACACGACCCACTAGAATTGTGGGCCGGCCCCGTGCAAAATGGGATGATCGACTGTCAAAGTTTGCTGCCCAATGCTTCCCAAACTATGTGAGCTGGATTGATGCTGCGTGTGATGTTGAGCGTTGGAAGCTCAAAAAAGCTGAGTACATAGAAATGTTCAAAGTGGAAATGTAAATACCTGTAGTTCGCGAGCGCTTTTCCAGCAACCTGTCCCATGTCCTTATAGGACCGTAGCTTGACTCGAACGGGCAAAAGCAAAAAGCAAAAGCATCAAGCAGCAATTGAAAACTTATGATGGTCGTCTTGAGAAAACGATAGAAAACGGAGCAATGGCTAGACTCGAGATAGGGATTTGTTACTGCCCTCGGGGTCAGGCCGAGGATTTATCTGGATAAATCCCCTGGGGTCTGAGGGTAATTTTTTTTTTCTGCGCGCACCTTTTTCCGCCGAATCCGCCGTCCCAAATGTTGGATTTTTCGTTGTTGGCCTGAGCCCGTTGGCATTTCTCATTTGGTCATGTTCGGTTCAAATCCACGCTATCATCGGAGAGACGTCGGAGAGCATATGAACAGGGCCCGACCCTGCCAATGACCTCAGAATGAATTTCCTGGGCCTGACCCTGAGCTCAGACCGCCAGGAATTCACCCGGACTGCGGCGGCGCAGCCGCGGCAGAAGGCGGGTTCCCCCAAAACACGCCCCAAAAGCCTCCAGACAACCACAAAATAAATTCCTGGGGCCTGACCCTAAGGTCAGACCACCAGGACTTCACCCGGACATGATAAATTCCCGGACTCGACCTTCAATACAAACCGTTGTTGTCAGGCAAAAGATACCATGATGATCCTCCGTCTCTAACCCCGCGTGAGCTGGATAAAGTTTTTTTTTGTCCGCGGACCGTTTTCCTCCGCTGCGATGTGTGTGTCCCTAGCGGCTAAAAGCCGCAGTCGCCGAAGGCGCGGCAGCGCCGTCAGCGCAGCGGCAGCCTGCTGGGGCCCGGCGCTTCAGCGAGGTGCAGGACCTGGTCCAGGTCAGGACCAACCCGCTGGCTGGGGTGGGGCACAGGCCAGGAACAGCCCAAGGCCGTGCTGGCGACGGCCTGCTGGACCGACACCGACAGCTGGCTCCACCAGCGCCGTGCCCACGCCGAAGCGGCTGCTTGCCGCAGCGCGGGTGGCGCGCGCTGCGCACGGATCCGGACCAGGTCGCGCACAAGTTGGAGCGCGCCCTGGCTCCACCGTCCGCCCGCCTCGGAGCCCAGGACCACCAGTGTCTGGATGTGTCTGGGGCCCTCCCGCGCGCAGCTCCGGGTATGCGTCGCGCTAGCGGCGCTCCGCGACCCGCAGGACCGCTCCGTCCGTCGCAGCAGCGCCGGGCTGCGGCAAGCCCGCCTTGCCGGTACTCCGAGCGCGGGTGCCCGAGTTCGCCGCTTCCTGCGTGGATTACTTGGGCGCCGGGGGTGGAACCGCGCCCTGCTTACAGAGCGCGGCTGGTGCCCGCAGCCTTCTCCGGGCCGAAGGTTGGCATACATGCCCCGAATGGCGAGCTCTTGCCGAGGAAGCCCGCCCTCGCCCCCTTGCGGACGCCGGCCTGGGCGGCTGGCCGCATGGTTGGCAAAGCCACGCGTCGCGTACCCGGAACCTTCACTTCCGCGACAGCGTGCTATTGCCATCCTTCCTCTGCGCTTTTGCGTTCGCAGGCTGGGCCGCATGCGGGAGCCTGGCTAACAGCAGTGCCCGCTGACCCAGGCCATGCAGGTGGCACTGCGCCGACGCCTCCGCCTCGCACTCCCGCTCCACTCCGATCGCTGTGGGCCCTCTCCGGGGTGCGGCGCGCAAGTAGATGCTGTCGGGGACCACGCCTTGGCATGCCCCCGCAGCGGCCTCCTCGCCCGCCGTGCCAAGATAGTGGAACGGGCGTGGGTGCGGGCGGCTCGGGAAGCAGTTGGGGCAGACGGGCAAGTAGTCCCGCCGCAATGGCTGGCCCACACCACGGCCCCCCGGGTGGACCCTTCCGACAGGCGCCGCTTGGACCTGGTAATCTATGGCGCCACGCCTCTGGGCGGAGCGCTGTGCTGCGACGCCACGCTGGTCTCCCCGCTCATCAGCCCAGGCAGCCCAATAGGCCGCCGGCGCCATGCGCGCAGCCGACTGCAAACCCAGGCCTCCGAGCGCAGCGGGGAGCCCCGCCAGAGAGCGCGCTCCGTCCGCTTCGTCCGGAGGAAGGCCTCCCAGAAGTGCGACCAAGGTCTGCCAGACTGCATCGTCGTGCAACTGGGCGTAGGAGGCGACCTCGGAGGGGGGGACGGTCCGCAAGGCATGGTTAGCGATGGTTAGCGCGCGGGGAAGCGCACATGGCCAAGAGCAGCCAAGCGCATTGGAGGTCTGGGAGCCGGGGCAACTGCTCTAGCAAGTGGCGCTCTTCGTGCGCTCGGGTCGTTGCCCAGGCACGCACGTACTCCGAGTGGCCGACCGGCGTGCCCAACACAAGCAGACCGCACTCCGCCAGGGGCCGGTCCCCGCGCCACATGTCCGTGCCTGGATAAATTCCCAGCGGGCCATGACAGAAATACTCTGGATAAAATCCCTGGCTGAGGATAAATCTTCCGGCCTGAGACCCCCGTTTAATCTTGGGTTTTTTTTTTTCTCCGCACTCCTCTTTCCGCCCGCAGTCAGGTGTCCCGGTGTGGGCGCACGCAGGGATGCCCTCACAGCCTGCTGGGCGCTGGCGGCAGGTGGTCTGCCAGAAGCTCCCCGAGCGGAACCTCGTGGCCGTCAGTGGGGTCACGAAGCCCCACGATGGGCAGCTCGAGAAGGGAGCAGGCGTGCGCGCGCGCAGGGCAGCGAACGATGCCAGTGCCGTCCAGCGCCGCATCAGCGCTTGCCTCGCCCCTGCTGTGCACCACGGCGCCCGCGAGCCCGCGCCCGCGCCAGCAGCCGAAGAAAGGTGAGCGTGGGACGGCTGATGCGTCCGCCGACCTCAACGCCGACCACAACCAGTCGGCAGCGCCGCGCCTGCTGGAATTCCGGGTAGGTCCGGTGCTTGCAGTCGACTGCCTGGTTCAGCGCGAGGCCTGGCTCATGGTCGGCCCGCGGACGTGGCTGGCCATCACGGCGTATGGGGCTAACGCTCGTCGCGTCAACGGCGATCTGACACCCTGCCAAATGGGGAGGCCGTTGGCCACCACCTCGATCCGGCGCCCGTCGGCCGCAGGCACATCCAGGTTGAAGTCACGCAGGGCGACATGGACGGCGACTCGGGCGCCTGCTTCTCTACAGATGCGAGCCGCCGCCTGCACAAGGGGCCCTGCTTTCCTGGCCAGCACACCAACTTGCGCGCATGCGGAGTGGTGGTCCCCGTAGACGTCCAAGCCTCCACCACAAGAGCAGCGCCGCGGGGTAACGGGCATGAGTCCAGGATGGTCCAGGTGGGGCTTGGGAAGACCTTGTCGGGGCTTCGGGCTTGCTGTGCTGTACACGATATGGTTGCTGCGAGGTTTCCGAAGCAGGAATGCGACCGCGTGTGAACGCCACTGGCACGGCTTTCAATAAACTACACAACTGAGACTACTGGATGTTGGTTGGAGATAGCTGGAATGGGGAGGTGTCAGCTGAAATGCCCAGTGCAGGGGGGTATTTCATGTACACAAACCTTGGCTGAAATCGTGTAGAGGGGGTGCGAGACGCCCCAAAAAAACTGGCACGTACGACCCCCTTTGCGGGAGGGGTAACCGAAGTCTGCGGAGCAACATGACGCGGTACTCCTCGTCCGGCACTCTGGTATCGGAGGTTGTGGGGAAGGCCGTGAAGGCACAACTCGCGGCCTCCCCTGCCTGAGACAGCAGCAGCGCCCGTGACGTTGGGTCCAGTTCGGAGAAAAGCGTCTCGAGCACGCGCTTGTCAGTGGCAGTGGTGGCCGCGTGTTGCCAGCCCGGTTTTCCGAATCCGCCAGGGTCATGGCGCGCGTCGGCGTGCTGTTTCTGGGTTCGTCGCAAGCAAATTGGCCCAGGAGGGGGGCGGGGAAACCGAGCCTGCGCGGCTGGCGAACCCGGTCAGCGAGCACGCCTGGGTGGTGCTCGCCCAGCGTGCACAAGGTGTCCGCCCACGAGCCCCAACAAGCCGAGTGGTGTTGCTATGTGTTGCTTCTCCGCAGACCCGAGTCCCAGCCCGCCCATGCTGAGGGGGAGCTGTGCTCGACGGGCGCTAAGGTCGGGGAAAGGCATTTCACATCATTTCACCATCCCCAAGCCAGCAGCCTCGCGAGGCAGCGCAGGACCGCGGCATCATGCTTGGCGGCGATCTGCCAACACATCGCTGAGGAGTGGGATGTCTCCATCGACATTGCCCGAGTTCGCAAAAGGGAGTGCGAGGAGGCTGGCACAAAAGGCGTGCGTGGCTGCAAACGAGATGAGGGCAGACCAGCGGAGCACGTGTGCGGAGGTGGCTGCGTTCCTGGTGGTTGCAGGCGCGGCCCGTGCCCTGCAGCGGGCGAGCTGGCGGACCAACCCTGCAGCCTCGGCACTCCAGCGGCCTCCGACCTCGAGAGCGAGCACGGTCAGGCGGGAGCGGGCTGATCGGCAGAGCTCCGGGTACGTCCGCTCCTTGGCCTGGCGAGCCCAGCGCAACTGCAGCCGCGCGCGCGACGGGGGGCACCGACAGCCGTCAGTGGGGAGACAAGGGTGGTGTCAACAGCCAACTGAACACCCCCCCCAGAGCGGGAGTTCGTTGGCGATAACCTCGATGCGACGCTCATCTTGGCGCTCAGTGACAACATTGAGGTCACGCACACGAGCATTGGTTGCGACCGTGGCCCCAGCTTCATGACATACACGAGCTGCTGCACGCTCGAGCAGGGCTCCAGAGCGGGGGCACGCCGCAATGTGGTCCCCCAGGGCATCATGAGCAACCCAACAGCGACACTGCGCGCCTGTGAATGGGAATAGAGGGAGTGGCAGCCTCAGGCGATAGCGATGGAGAAGCACGCGGATAAGGGGGGAATCGAACGTCGGATGTGGGGCGCGCTGTGAGTACCCTGGCAGCATATGGGCCGGCCTGTGACTCAAGCAAGGCGATGGAGGACGGGTCGAGCTCACGCAGGAGTGCGCGGTGGCAGAAGTCATCCACGGCCCGGGCCGCCAGGCGCTGCCATCCACGAGTAAGGTCAAGCTCAGGTTCGT